ACAGACACAGAAAACAGAACTGCAAGGGGTTAAATGCAAAAGCCATTAAACACTTTCCCCCCTTTCCCATAAACTGCACCACAATGAGTTTTTCACACTCTGCTTCCTCAGGGATCCACCGGGTTTACAAAGGAACATTGGCACCATTTAATTGGGTGTATTGGTCTTTTTAGAGAGGTTTTTTTCAGAGACTCTCTAAGGAATGAATGACAAGGTCAGAAGAGGGGACAGTCTCTAACCTGACACTCATCAGTGTCTGGCTCTGCAAATGGGCAGGGAAGCCCTGAGTGGACATTAATTAGTTGTGTTCCATGAGAGATTTCCTTTAACCCCCAGAACTTGGCATTGTCACCCCAGATTGTAACCATGGGGCTCTCAGGATTTACACCAACATTTACTGCAGCCACAGAATCCCAGAATCATTTGGAAAAGCCTTCCCAGCCCATCCAGTCCAGGCTGTGCCCCATCCCCACCTTGTCCCCAGCCCCAAGTGCCACCTCCAGGGATGGGGATCCAACCCTCCCTGGGCAGTTCCAGTGCCTGAGCCCCCTTTCCATGGGGAAATTCCTGCTGATCCCACCTGATCCAGGCTGAGCCCTTTGGATCCCCAGGCAGCTGGAGCCAGAGGGGCTCCTCAGTGGAACGGCTCCGATCATTTCCATTTTGCCTCTGCGATCAAACCCCGCCAGGGGCCATCCTGCACTGCCGCAGGTGTTGGGGGATGCTCTCTCCTGCTTCTCCCCAAACAGCAGCTCTGCTCTCAAACACCAACACGCCCAGGGAGCGCCTCCAGGGTGTGCAGTGTGACTGTGGGGTGTGCAGGGCAAGCTGCTGCCTCCTCACACCCTCCTGGCTCTCCTTCCACCCCTGCCACTGCTCCTGCAGCCAGCACAGCCAGTCCCCGCAGAGGACACCGGGGCCTTGTCCTCCTCCTTGTCTGCAGGAGCAGAGGAGGGTGGAGAGCAGGACAGAGATCCTCAAAGGAGAGCTGGGCAATCCCCAGCTCCTCCTCAGCCCCACTCCCAACACGGGCTCCGGCATCCTCCATCCCAGCTGCATCTCCCCTGAATTCACCTGGGAACTCCTTCCACGGGTTCCAGGTATTCCCAGCCCCAAGGGCTCAGCCTGTTCTGGCTGGCACCTGTCCCTTGCTCTTTGTTCTGCCTCAGACTTCCTGGAATACCTGGAAAAGGTGGAAAAAACGAGGCTTGCCAGCTGGCTCCAGAGGATGGGGATGAGGAGGGGAGAGGCAGAAGCACTGCTGGCACTTGCAGGAGCACAGTTGGCACAGGGGAGCTGAATGTACAATTTGGAGACTTCCTAGAAGGAGCCAACAGGCTCAGTCAGAGCACTCTTACTTTTAAATCAGTGTTTACAAAGTCCTGGGCAAACTCAACTATTTCTGTCTGTCAGGTCAGAGCCAGCTTGAGGAAATACGACAAACACACCTTGGTGTGGAAGGAGTTGTTGTTTAAGCAAACTCATCCTGACTCGTGTTTGTTTTTAATGGCGTTATTGGACAGCACTGACAGAGCCAAGGTCAGGCTGCAAGGGAAGAGGCAGAGGGAAGATCTCAGAGGAGAGGAAGGTGCTGCTGCTCCCTGCCCATCACAGAGTCCCCATTCCTGCTGAGAATGCTCCCATCCCTGGCTCCTGGGCTCACCTGGGGCTCTTCCCCCAAGCAGTGGCACTGCACATCCCTGGGTGCCTTCCCTGGAGAGTGACCTCAGCCAGGCCATCCACCACCCTCTGCTACACTGACAAAATCCAAATAAACTCCTAAAAACTCCACCCTGCCTTTGCCAAGCAAAACTGGCCAACTGCAGTAACAGGGGACAGAGAAAAGTCATCCTCCCTCAAGGAACACTGGGCAATATTCCCTCTCAAAGGAAAGTATTTTGGGTTTAAGGAGAAATGAAGTCATCATGACATCACACATCTCAAAGCACACTCCAGGCTCTGAAGCTGGCACACCAGGACTTGGCTCCTTCCTCACTGCCCTCAAGCAGCACAAACTTGCAGCTGGGTAATGTTTTAATTACTCACCTTTCTATCAAGTTCCCGAGGGTGCAGTTTGTTTTGGAGCGAGGGGAGATGCCCCGGGGCTGGAGGGGGTGACCCTGCTCTGTCTGTCCCCGAGTGGGAGCCGCACGCTGGCTGCACTCCCAGCACCTGAACCAAAGCACCCGGCCTTGGGCAGGGCTCCCGCGGGCCTCCCTCGCCCTGGAGTCATTCTGAGCAAGCTTCAGCAGCACTGAAATGCTCCAACCTCAGTGACACGGGCTCGGAACAGACACAGAGCTCGGGGAGCCCCAGTGCGAGTGGAGCCTTTGCACTCTGGACCCTGGCACAGCACGGAGCTGCCCAGTCCTGGAAAACACCTTCCTCACCACAGAATTGCGCAATTGCTAAGGCTGGAAATCCCCTCTGAGATGCTCGAGCCGTTCCCCCAGCACTGACCCTGTCCCCAAGCGCCACAAGCCGCCCGTGCCCGGAGCTCATGCAGGGACAGCCATTCATCCTCGCTCCAGCCGAGTTCCACTCGTGCGGAGCCCTCCGAGCCTCCCCTTCCCTCCGGGTGACTTCCCCCGTGCCAGGGGCTCCATGCCCGCCCCAGTCCCGTTCCTCCTGCGGCTCAGTGCTGCCCATCCCAGCGCTCTGCTGGGCACGGGAGCCGCTCACGCCAGCGGAGCCCCGGGGGCTGCTCTCTGCCACCTTCACCTGTGCCACCGCGACCGGACCAGCCCGCCTGCCTTCCTTCCATCCTCCCCTCCGCTCCCTCCCACAGCCCCGAAACCGGGGGATATCGGGCACCGAAACCGGGAGACACCGAGAACCGCACACGGTCGGGGATACCCAGCACCGCACACGGGGGATGCCCGGCACAGGACCCGGGGTGGGACACCGGGCACCGCACATGGGGGAATACTGGGCACCGCACATGGGGGAATATCGGGCACCGCACATGGGGGAATATCGGGCACCGCACATGGGGGAATAGACACCGGGCACAGGACCCGGGGGAATACCGGGCACCGCACCCGGGGGAATATCGGGCACCGCACATGGGGGAATAGACACCGGGCACCGCACCCGCATCCCCACCCGCATCACCCCCGCCCCTGCCGAGGGGCGCTCCTCGGGCGATGCCGGCGATCATTTCCCCCCGGGGCGGGTTTGCCCCATGCCCAGCGGAGCCCCGTCCTCCCGCTCCCTCCGCCGGCCCCTGCTCACCGTGGCCGGGGCAGAGCCCCGCAGTGCCCGGCGCGGCTCCCCCGGCGCGGCCGCTCATGCTGGCGGGATGGGGCAGGGCGGCTGCGGCCGCTGCCCACGCGTGGATGCGGTCTGTCTGTCCTGCCCGCCCAGGTGCGGATGCGGTCTGTCTGTCCTGCCCGCCCAGGAGTGGATGCGGTCTGTCTGTCCTGCCCGCCCAGGTGCGGGTGCGGTCTGTCTGTCCTGCCCGCCCAGGTGCGGGCGCGGTCTGTCCTGCCCGGGATGCGGTCGGTCTGTCCTGCCCGCTCAGGTGAGGATTCTGTCGGTCTGTCCTGCCCGGGATGCGGTCGGTCTGTCCTGCCGGCCCAGGTGAGGATTCTGTCTGTCCTGCCGGCTCAGGTGAGGATTCTGTCGGTCTGTCCTGCCCGGGATGCGGTCGGTCTGTCCTGCCGGCCCAGGTGAGGATTCTGTCTGTCCTGCCGGCTCAGGTGAGGATTCTGTCGGTCTGTCCTGCCCGCCCAGGTGCGAGTGCGGTCTGTCTGTCCTGCCGGCTCAGGTGAGGATTCTGTCTGTCCTGTCCAGGATTCTGTCGGTCTGTCCTGCCCGCCCAGGTGCGGGTGCGGTCTGTCTGTCCTGCCCGCCCAGGTGAGGATTCTGTCTGTCCTGTCCAGGATTCTGTCGGTCTGTCCTGCCCGCCCAGGTGCGGGTGCGGTCTGTCTGTCCTGCCCGCTCAGGTGAGGATTCTGTCTGTCCTGTCCAGGATTCTGTCGGTCCGTCCTGCCCGCCCAGGTGCGGCTGCGGGGCTGCGCTCCCGCCGAGGCTCCGCGGGCAGCGCCTCCCCCGGCCCGCCCCGCACGGAGCGCGGGGGTGCCCGGCGCTGTCCCCGCCCCGCCCGGGGAAAGCCGGGGCCGTCCCCTCCAGAACCAACCCCGAGCTCGCCCGGGTGCCGCGGGAGCCGTGCGGGCGCTGCGGGCAGCGCAGCTCCCCCTTTATCCCGAGAATTCTCGCCGATGCTTCTCCCTCCCTTTCGCAGCGATTCAGGGATCCGTGGTTTGGTTTGGTTGCTTGCGTGCAGAAGGGAAGTGTGGCAAGCCCATGTTACTATAACTTGCTCGATTGGAGCCGCTTTTTAAAGATCTGAGGGGTTTTGGCAAAGATCTTTCAATGGATTTCTCAAAACAAACAAAAAATTGGCGGTAATTCCAGGCACGCTGCAAGGGCTTTTTCAGTTGCAGCATCAGCCCAGCTCCTCTGACATTATTGGAGCTTTGGCAGCTGAAATCTGGCCCTGACACCCTTAACAAAGCTCAGTCTTGGCAGAGCAGGACACCACAAGCAGCTCATCAGCTGAACTTTTAAAATACCCCTTGAAATAAAGCCAGCATAAACCCAGGACCTGAGCAGCTCCTGCTCCAGGTGTGCTCACCTCCACCTTTCACTGCTGGAGCTGCATTTTGGGGCTTGGGGCTTTCAAGCTGCAGTGCCTTTGTACAGTCAGTGCAGGGCTGGGATTTCTCAGAGATTACTGCATTCACAGGCAGATCCAGAGCACACTCAGGGTCACAGATGTAATTTGGTTTGGAGCATTTCCATGCCCTTTAAGCACAGCTGAGGTCCTTGCCCCTCCAAAGGACATCTCCAGTTGTGTGTGGATGCAGGAGAAACCAGAGCACCCACAGAAGTGCAACACCTGCTGCTTGCTGACAAAATACATCCTAAAAGTAAATTTATATTAAAGACATTATCAACTTGTTTGATAGGACTAATTTCTTTTAAGACCTGGGGGGCTTTGGCAAAAAATTTTCAATGGATTTCTCCAAAATTTGGTGGTGTTTTAGGCAGTGCAGGCAAACAGCACCCAGGCTGCATGTGTTTGTCCATCACTATAGAAACTGAAAGACAGAGAAAGAATAACATTAGAAAAGTAAACCCCATCCAATCCATGAAGAAACACTTTGTCAGAGTGGATTTTCTCAGACTCAGAGGACCCAAACCAAAGTGAATGAAGCTGGTCTGGGTGGAGCTGTTAAAGAGTTCCTGAAACAATTTTGGTTTGCCTGCATTTTCCTCTCCGTGGTACTGGTGTGAGCTTTCTGGACATTATTAGTATTTACTAATAGTAGGCATTAATGGTAGCTACTCACTAGAATAGCCTCTGGCTTTAATGCTGAATCGATATAGAAATTCTTCCTGGAGCAAACACTTGTAGCTCTTCCTGGCAAGATCTGAGTGCTCAGAGCAGCTCCTCACCTGCCTCCCAAGGTGCTCCCAGCCAGGCTCTCCAGCAGCACCTCCTAAAGGGGAAAAACGGCACAAAAGGGAACAATCAGAGCGTGGGGCCCCGAGCCAAGCCGTGCTGAGTTTGCAGCAGGGGGAGAATGAGGCTGGGTGGGTTTCTGTGCTCTCCTTTCAATGCCTGGGTGGGCTGAGGGCCAGCAGTGCTCCGGGCAGGGTCAAAGCTGCTCAGGGGAGGATTTGGAGCCTGGAGAAGCAGAGCCCAAGCCCCTTCCATCCCTGGCTGTTGTGAACCTGGGCAGGTTTGTTTGTTAACACATCCTGGCCCCAGCGCTGGCCCCAGCTGTGGCCAAGGTCCATCCCACTCCTCTCCAGGACTGGCAGAAGTTTATTCCACCTGAATGGCATGCCTAAAAAAAAAAATGGAATTAAATTTTTAAACAGGAAAATTGGAAAGTATCAAAGAGGGAGAAAAAGCACTGGAGTTTGGGGGTTTTTTTCCTGTTTTTCCTCCCCTCCTCCTTTTCCTCCTGCTGTAACAATGATGAATCCCAAGATCTGGTTGAGAGGGAGAGTGGCTGAGTGATTCATCGGGACTGAATCACAGTCACTCTGCAGAGGAATTCGCTGCTGCTGCTGCTGCAGGTGCAGCTCCATCCCTGCCCTGGATCCCTCCCTGCTGCCCCTCCAGGAGCAGAGTGGGACAGGAGCCCATAAAAACAGAGAGAGCAGCTCTGGGTGAGCCCCCCTGAGCAGCCCTGCTCTCCTTTGCCCACGTGGGAGGGATTTTATCCAAAGGGAGCCAGAATACATTGATTTTCTGAGGGTTTTACCCACGGCTGGATCACGCAGCCTCCCACTCCCCCGGGGAAGAACTTTCCTTCTGTTCCTTTTGAAATGCAAGCTTTCCCCCTCCCTCTGAGATCCCCCACTAACCCTGGGATGCAGCAGCAATCGGTACCCAGAGCTGGGCTGGAAAGTCGGGATGCAGCAGCTGAATTCCTGGGATTTCCCAGGGTTGGATTTCCTGAGGGACATCAGAGGAGAGGCAGGAGAAGAATTCTGCTCTGCAGCTGATTTACAGCATCAGCTGGGCTGGTGCTTGTCCTTACACAGGGTTTTGTCTCTCTGTTGTCGCCACCTCCTCTGCTCACATCGCTCACACCCGAGCTCTGGGGGTTGCCAGGACTCCACATTCCCAGGCTCCTGCTGAAAGTGCCCAGCCAAGCCCAGGTGGGCACCAGCTCAAAACTGAAAGGGTCAGGGAGAAGAAGGTCCCAAACTGACAGGTTTTTCAATAATCCAACTCTGCCACCTGTGGTAGGAGCTCTCCCTGTCTGCAGAGCACTCTGAGCCACTCCCCTCAGGTTATTTACAGCTCTACCTGCAGACACAAACCTAAATCCCAGCTTAAGGCAGCTAAATGTTAAATAGTTAAATGTTGGCTTTAAAGCAGAACATTTGGGCCATTTTTACCAGTGCAACCACCACTGTTCATAGCACAGACATCGTTGGCTCAGCTGGCACTGGAGGGGCACAGAATTATTTTGAAAGACCCTCTCAGAGTGACCCTTGGATAAATTTGTTATCCCAGGACCAAAGGTGGAACCAAAGCAAGGGGCAACCATGTCAGCATCACCTGGAGAGTCAGAGCTGGAGGCAAATTCCACATTTACAATCTGTGGGCTGGAAACCACTGAACAACCCCTCAGAAAGGTGAGGATGAGACTCCCCTGGGAGAGCCCTCTGAGTCCGGGCCCATCTCAGTCTCTCTGGAGGCCACACAAGTGTGACAGAACTTCCCATCATTTTAACTGGTTTTTCCTAAAATCCTATTTCTAATGAGCAATTTGCACTTGGTTCTCTGCTCCAGCGAGGAAGTTTTGGAGGAAAAAGAAAAGGGAAGCAGAAATCCACCTCCTGCCATCCCCCGGGCTGAGGGCTGGGTGGGTGTCTGTCCTTCTGCCCCACAGAGCTCCTTCTCTTCCCTGGCAAGCACAGGGAGGAGTCCTGGGATGTGGAGCCCTCCTGGGCTGTCATTTCCATGCAGATGAGGCTGTGTGTAATTCCATGTGAGTGTAATTCCCTGTGAATGCAGATAACTGATGGGGCTGTGAATAAGAGAGCTGAGTGAATCATTCATCATGGATTATTGATAGGATTAATTTTACCTCTTTTTCTGCTCTCAGGATGCCCACGAGCCCCCCCCCGAATTTATTTCCCCCCTCTTTAATGGAATATTTCTGGACACAAAGTAGATTAAAACAGGGTAATTTTCCTGCTCTTTGCTGGGCTGAATGAGATATTTGCTGTCAGGTTAACCCTTGCAGAGTCCCCCTGAAGAGTCTTCCCTGCTGGTTTCACACCCCTTGGGTTCACACTGGGGTTTTTAACATCAGGACCCCCCAGCTCTGTGTGTGCTGTTTCTGTGTCCCCTCGCTGGTGTGACAAAGGTCCTGCCCTGTCTGAGCGTGGCTCCCTCGGCCCCCAGCCCCACAGGGATGCTTTGGGGTGATTTTCCCAAGGATGGCTCCCTGGAGATGGCTGCAAACCCTGTTGGGCCCCTGCTGCTGTTTCCATGGCAGCACGGAGCCAATTCCGCTCGGATTGAGCGCAAACCAAAATAAACCTGCAGAGAGATTCCCCCTGCCCACCCCTGGCCTTGGGGACCCTCTGCTCCTCCCCTGCTGCTGTCCCTTGTCCTCTGAGCTCCCTGGGCTGTTTGGGGCTTCTGTGAGATGCAAAACCAATTTCCCAAATCCTTTACCTGCTTGGTGAGGCAACATCATTTCTGATTATTAATTCCCTATCAAAAACCAAAAGGAAAAATAAGCAGAATTCTTTATTCAGAGCTGTTCAAAGGGACGAGAGGAGCCTGCAGGGGCTTTGCAAACCCTCCCTGCCAAGCCCCAGAGGTAAAACCAACCCGTGCCCAGGGCAGTGAGTCCTGAGCTCAGCCCCTGCCAGGGCTCCACTTCCCAGGAGGGTTTTCCTCACGTTCCTCTCGTGTTTCCAGGCTGATGTTCGGGGATCTGCAGCACAGGAGCTGAGCAGAGCTGCCCATCCCAGGGCTGTGCTGCCCACAGGTTTAGGCCAGGCTTTGCTAAGATGGACACAGGGCTTTTCCCCTCTCTGGCTGGCGCTCCAAGGCACAGCTGGGATTGGCACAGCCAGCCCTGGGTCCGATAAATGCAGAAGAAAATTCGGGATTTGCCCTTCCAGGAAACGCACACCAGGAGTTCCCCACCCAAATTTAACTCACCTCTCGTGCCACATTTGACCTTCAGCCATTCTCACATCTCCTTCCTGCAGTTTCCACCCTGGTTTGAGCAAAGCCTTGAGAGCAAAGCCATTCTGCAGCTGCCAGGCACAGCAGGGGCTTTGAGCTGAAAGGGCAGCGAGGATGGGCTGGGCACAGGGTGGGGAGGGCTCAGCAGGAATAAATCACCTTTCACCAGCAGCAGCTGCTGGCCCTGCTCCCTGGGGCCACACACAGTTATCTGCACAAATGCAGCTTCTGGGGTGATAAAAAAGAGAAAATATTTTAAAAAATTATGAAAAATAGAAAATATAAAAAAAAAAAATAGAAAGAATTGGTTGGTTGTGGTCCAGCCACAGCCCCAGGGCAGGGACAGCAGTGTGACACTCCAAGAGCCCTCACCTGCCCTGCTGGGAAATGGCCAAGGCAAGAAGACTTTCAGAAGGCTGGGGAAGCAGGACTCAAAAACAGGGCAGAGGAACTGGAGCCAGCTGCAGCTGCAAGGTGTGACAGTGGGGAAGTCACAGTGGTACAGCAAGCAAGGACGTGGAGCTATAGTTTGAGTTTTAGGCTTTGCTAAGATAGACCTTAAGAAAAATAAGCCAAGCAAGGTAGTGGAAGGTTTTGAGGTTAATAATGAAGTGTTGTGCATTGTTAATAGAAAGCAGAGAAGCTTTGTGTGCAGCAGGTGTAGGTGTGCTTTTAGTGGGTGCCTAAACAATTACCTGTGAGTTCAGCCATGTGCTATTGGCTGGAAAGTTTTTAAAATGCTCTGGAACAAGGAAATCTTTGGCTGCTGCTGGCAGGACGTGAGTTTTGCCACCTTCCAATTGTCTCAGCCATGTGGTGAGGCTGATGCTGCCATAAAGCCCCAGGATCAAACCCCAGCACACCCTGCCTTTGGGGTTCCCTCATTTCCTCCTTTTCCCTCATTTGGGATCAAGCAGAGCTGCCCATCCCTGCGCCATCCTGTCCCCAGGGACACCCCCTGCCCGCTGTCACATCCACAGAAATGTCTGGAAGGGAAGGCCAAGCACTGGCTGGAAGCTCAAAAATCCGGTCAAATGCCTTTTTCTTTAGAAAGAATAAATTAATGTGAGGTAGAAAACACAGATTCCTTGGTGAGGATGGTCTGAAATAGAACCAGCTTTGAGATGTCAGCGTTCAGCGCTTTTGTTTCTGCTCTGCTCTGGTGAACTCTGGGATCTGCTCTGCACTGCCTGCCTGGGAGCCTCAGCTGCTGCAGGCCTGGCAGGGATTCCACAAGACATTTCATCTTTCCATAGAAACCACAATTGTACCTGCTGAAACACTCCCCAGCCACCAAAGAAAGAAAACAAAAAGAGACATTTTCTTCCTGTTGTGCTCTTTTTTCAGCCTTTAAGCTTAAAAAAAAAGCACCTTTTCTGTAGCTCCTTTTCATAACTATGTGGGTTATGCACCCTTTTTATTTTCAAGGTGCAACAGCCACCTCCATGAACTGTTGTGGCTCCCAGGAATTCAGGCACCAACCTGAAAACCCCAAAGCTGTGGAACATGAAACCAAACTGCAGGATTTCAATAAATGCAAGGGCAGCAGGTGACCAGAGCTGCTCCAGTGCAGCTGGAACTGGAGTCCAGTTCAATGCTGGTGCTCTCACTCACCTCTCCTGGTTCAGGGCTTTTAGTTCCTTTCCTGCCTTGCCGTTTATCTCTTCTCTCTCCCTGCCCTCCTTTGAGCCTTTTCTGGCTCTCCTGGAGGCTGGGAATGCCAGAGGCTCTCATTGCAGGGGCAGGGGACTGCAGGGTTTGTCACTAAAGGGAGCAGGGGGCTGGATCTGCCTCCTCTCCCTGGCTGAGGGGCAGAGAAGTGACACAAAGTGGGACAAAGGGGCTCCCTGCAGCTCCTCTGCAGCCAGGGTGGGAAAGGGGCAGGGGCAGGGGCAGAGCAGCAATGACAGGAGGATTCCCCAGCCCCTGGGGGGGATCCCAGGCACCTCAGCCACTGCAAGAATTCCACCCAGAGCCACTTTCCTCCTCAGATCCTCTCATCCTGTCCTTCCCCTTTTTCTGTCCCTCAGCTCTCCCAGGCCCCTCTCTGCTGGCTCCTGTGTCACCAGGGCCTCCCCAGGGATGCATCAATGTCCCCAGCAAATCCAGAGCCATCACCACCTGCAGCTCCCTGCTTGCCCTCTCCAGCTCAGTTTCCTCTGCTGGGGAGGTGCACATGGGCAGATCAGCACATGCTGGCAGCACTTTCATTGCTTCAGAGCACTTTGAGAGCTGCAGAAGCAACTTCTTGCCATTCCAGGGGCTGTTTGTTCCCAGGAAAAGGCACTGGGAGAGAGGAGAGCAGCCCCTGGTGCAGCAATCAGTGTCTCCAGAGGGGAAGCAATCAGCACCAGCCACAACCTTTACTCCTCAAAGCTCCCCAGAGGGAGCATTTCAAAGCATCAGAAGGATTTTAACCTGTCCAGCTGCTGCTGAGCCATAATTACCAGTTGCACAGTGAGCTCCCACTGGGGCTGACAAAGGCTCAGCAGCAAATCCCCTCCTGGTGCCCCTGCTGGAGCATTTATAGAGCCCGGGCAGGCAGGGGCAGCAGCACAAGGAGCAGGGAGCTGCTTGCCAGGGGGGACATTTGGACATTTGCTTTCAGCTTCCTGGCCTTTCCTCAGCCCCTGGGGAGCTCCAGCAGGGGTGCAGCCCCTGGGGCACAGGGACAGGTCCTGGGGCCAGGCCCATGGGGGATTTGGGCTGGTGTCCTCAGCTGGAGCCCCCACTGTGGGATTGATGGGGGTGGGATGGTGGGGATGGATGGAGAGCAGAGATCTCTGCAGCCAGGGATGGAACCTGGGGTTCATTGCAAAGGGACTGGGGCAGGGCCCTGCTGGGAGCTGCCAGGCACAGCTGGAGCAGGACTGAGAGAGGGAGAGAGGTAAAGAGAGAGAAGGCAAGAGTGTGGTAAAGAGAGAATGAGAGAGTAAAAGAGAGGATCAGAGGGCAAGGTTCCCGTTACAATACAATGAATCTTCTTCTGGTCTTGGAACTTGCAGGTTATTGCAAAGGGCCCAGCTTGGAGCTGCCAGCCCCAGCTCAGAGCAGGACTGAGAGAAGAGAGGGGGAGAGAGGATGAGAGAGTAAGAGAGCGAGGTTCCTGTTGCAATACCATAAATCATCTTCTGTGTTGAATATTCTAATTCTCACTAACCAATCTAGTACAACACACAAATCCTACAGCATTTCCATACAGCCTATAGAATCATTACATTACCAGACTGTTACATTTTAAACCCTAAAAACTCCTCTTTGGGCCCCTTCTGCCAAGCTGGCAGGGGCTGCTCTGCCCCTTGGGCCTGTCTGCAGGCAGAGGGTGTTGTTCCATCAAAAGGGGATCACCTTCAGCTGGCCACACCATTGTTTTCCAGTTGCTCAGTAACTGAGGGATCTCAAAGCTTGCTTTCATTTCAATCTCACTCATAGTTTCCATATTCTCAACATCTTTTGCCAGTCAATCCTATTGATAAGGCTTTCCTGTTTCACCTTCCCCAACAGCCCACAGCACCAGGAACTGCCCCTTCCTGCCCTCACCTGCACCCAGCCAAGGGATGGAGGATGACCCAAGGACTGACCTTCCACAGCTCTGCCTGCAAACCAACCCTGGGCTGTGTCACTGTCCCTCCTGGGTCCCAGCCCCAGCCCTGGGCCTCTCACAGAGAGTGAAAATATAAACCCAGCAATTCCTGAGTGCCTGGGCAGCGTGGGCACAGGGGTGCCCGGGCTGGAGGGGTGGGAGAGCTGGGCAAGCAGGCAGGGCAGGGGCTGCCAGCAAGGCCCCAGGGCTGGACAGGGCAGAGGCCATCAGCCCTGAGAAGTGCTGGGTGTCTCTGTCCCAGCTGGGATCAGTGCCCATTGCAGGATCCTGGCTCTGGATTGCACCAGGCTGTGCCAGGGCATTGCCAGCACTGCCTTTATTTCCTGCTGGGCCTTTATGACCCCACTGAGACCATAAATACCTCTGAAGCCTAATTAAAACAGTTCAATTTTCTCCATAAACAGACTTGTGAAGAAGATGATGGCAGTGCTGCTCAAAAAGGGAAGGGGGGGTGTCCTAGGTAGCCCTGAGCCAGGACTGGGGTCAGGTAACAGGAGGTTTTTACTGCCTTGCTGGTTTTACTCCCACCCTGAAGTGCCCCATTTCTCTGTTCTGGGGCTGAGGTAACTCCCTGGGGAGCTTCCCCACACTGGGATGGCCTGAGAGGACCCTTGGAAAGAGCTCCTGGGAGCTGCATCCCACCCACACCTGGAGCACAAACATCCATCCCTCCCTGCAAGGAGACCTTTGGTCACTTCAGCCCCCCTGGCACAGCCTTGCCCAAGGACTGCAAGCAGCCAGGTACACCATTGAAAACAATGTTTAAATCCATTTTAAATCAAATTTTAAGCACAAAACCGCACTTTCCTGAGCACAGCCACAGGATTTCTTTTCCACACACTTTATTTCCAGCAGTCTCCCGTCCCTGGGCTTCCAAACCACAATTCCCTCCAGCAGAATTTCTTTTGGGGGTGGGAATGGGATGTGTGGATGAGTTTTTGGGGTCCCTGTCACAGCAGGGATGGGCTGGGATGTGTGGATGAGATTTTGGGGTCCCTGTCACAGCGGGGATGGGCTGGGATGTGTGGAAGAGTTTTTGGGGTCCCTGTCACAGCAGGGATGGGCTGGGATGTGTGGATGAGATTTTGGGGTCCCTGTCACAGCAGGGATGGGCTGGGATGTGTGGATGAGATTTTGGGGTCCCTGTCACAGCAGGGATGGGCTGGGATGTGGGGATGAGATTTTGGGGTCCCTGTCACAGCAGGGATGGGCTGGGATGTGGGGATGAGATTTTGGGGTCCCTGTCCCAGCAGGGATGGGCTGGGATGTGGGGATGAGATTTTGGGGTCCCTGTCACAGCAGGGATGGGCTGGGATGTGGGGATGAGATTTTGGGGTCCCCTCCCGAATTCCCGGCCGGCCCCGGCCCCGCTCGCGGCTCACTCGCGCCCTCCAGCGGCCACGCGGGGCAGGCGCAGCTCTGGCCCCGCATCCCGAGCTCGGCCCTCCCCAAACCCTTCCCGAATTCCCGGCTCCATCCCCAGCTCGGCCCTCCCCAAACCCTTCCCGAATTCCCGGCTCCATCCCGAGCTCGGCCCTCCCCAAACCCTTCCCGAATTCCCGGCTCCATCCCGAGCTCGGCCCTCCCCAAACCCTTCCCGAATTCCCGGCTCCATCCCGAGCTCGGCCCTCCCCAAACCCTTCCCGAATTCCCGGCTCCATCCCGAGCTCGGCCCTCCCCAAACCCTTCCCACCCTGCTGCCCCACTGGCAGAGCATCCCAGCCCCTCCTGCTCGCTCTGACGGCACAAACACCGAACCTGCTCCCCCGTCAGAAACCTCTCCTCGCACCCAGGGCTACAGGGACACCTGCAAGTCCTGTTCCTCGGGCTCCGGGAGAGCAGCCTGCTTGTCCCTGCTGTCCCCGCGGTGCCAGCGCTCAGCGAACTGCACGGCATCGTGGATGCTGTGGAAGGCCAGCTGGCCCCCAGCGCCGCCTGCCCGGCCGGCCCAACCTCCCTCCCGCAGCCGCTGGCGGATGGAGGGGTTGCAGTTGGCCAGGAGCACCTGGACTCCCACCTCCTTGTAGTCGTGGTGCGTCTCCTTGAGCACAGAGAGACCCACGGTGTCTATGAACTGCATGGCCCCACAGTCCAGGATCAGGGTGTGCATGTCTGTGGAGGGGGGACAGGCATCTCCTGGAGGGCTCTCAGCCCTGCTCCCGCCCTGTCTCAGGCAGGCACAGCAGCCCCTGGTGCTGCCTGGCTCTGGCCGTGCCCGGTTCCCCAGGCTGGCCGCCAGCAGCACGGGGTTGAGCCCGGTTTTCTGGTACAGCACAGCCTTGAAGTAATCCTTGTTGGCGTAGTAGAGAGAGCACTCGAAGCGGAAGATTTTGATGTTGGAGATGCTGCTGAGCTGTTTGTAGGCAGCCTGGTCCTCGTAGACCTCCCTGTCGCCGACCTTGCCCAGCAGCGTGGCGCGCGGCCGCTGCGTGCGGAAGATGATGCAGAGCAGGGCGAAGCAAACGCCCACCAGGAGCCCGATCTCCGTGGTGACCAGCGTGGAGCACAGCATGGTCGCCCACCACACCGCCGTGTCCAGCTTGCTGAGCTGCCACATCCTGGGGGTGTCCCGGAACCTCCTGAGGCCGCCCCGCAGGTTGACGATGGTGACCACGCCGAGGATGGAGGTCTGCAGCGAGTAGAAGAGCGGGGAGATCCACAGCAGCACCAGCAGCAGCACCAGGGAGGTGACCAGCCCGGACACCTGGGTCTGGCTGCCCGTGGATTCCTTCAGCAGAGTCTTGGTGAGGGCAGCAGAGCTGGCGAAGCAGTAGAAGAAGGAGGGGATGAGGTTGCACATGCCGATGGCGATCATCTCCTGGTTGGCGCTGACGGCGTAGCCGTGCTTTTTGCCAAAGATTTCTGCCAGGGACACGGTCATGGCAAAGCCAATGACAGCAATGGGCAGAGCATCCAGTGCCAGGCTGGGAAGCAGGCTGATGTCTGGGACAGTGGGCTTCCTGAAGCCCGTGGGGATGTCCCCGCACACGGCGGCCTTGTAGCGCTGCTCGAAGTCGAAGTAGTGGGAGATGAGGGTGGCTGCGATGACCACCAGCAGCTCGATGGGGAACGGGGCCTTCAGCCTCTCCTTGTAGCGCTCATTGAGCTCCTTGACAGGCACTATGATGGCCAAGGCCACCAGGCTGGTCAGCAGGTCGCAGATGTTGGTGTTGTGGATGTGCCTGAAGAGGTCCACCCAGGTGAGGATGAAGGAGCCCACGCCCTCGTGCCGGGGGATCTTCAGGCCCAGCAGATATTTCATCTGGGAGGTGATGATGGTGAGGCTGGAGCCTGTCACGAAGCCACCCAGCAGAGGCTCTGACAGGTAGACAGCCACGAAGCCCATCTGTAAAACCCCCAGCAGGATCTGAAAAGCAAAGCAGCCACAGCTTCAGCACGGGTGAGAAGGGCTGGAAGGGCTGGCCAGCAACTTATGTCACTTTGCTGCCACTTTAGCAGCTCTGGCTACTCTGTCTGGGGATGTGCTGAGCATTCCATGGGAGGAATTTGTCTTCAGGAGTTAATCTGGGCTATGGAATACCAGAGAGACCTACCTTTAACACTTGCCCGTGGCTGGGGGTGCCACACAGAAAATCCTATGAGGTCCCTGCTGCTGCCTCCTCACGAGCAACCCCATCAGAGCAGCTCTGAGTAGCACTCACTTGGGATGCCCTGAATTTCAGCTGTCCCAGTGGAAAAGCCTGGAATTGCTGTGACAGCTCAGCCTAGGCAATGGGGACACTGCCAGGGAGCATGGCAGGGTCCTTGAGGGTCTGCCCCAAACCTTCTCTGAGCTGCCCAGCTGCAGGACTGGGCTGGTGGGAAGGTGGTTCACAGATCCAAGATTCTCTTGCTGAGGATGTTTCAGACACATCCAAGGACCTGGTTATCCCATGGAGGAAAACAGCTCCAATTCAGCTGTGTTTGCACTTTTAAAATCACTGCATTCACAAATATCCAAGTGTTGGGGTCTAGAAACATTTCTCAGGACTCTTAAATCTGACCCAACACTTAGAGACCTCAAACTCAGAGACATTCCTAGGAGGAAACAGCACCAGAGTGAACGTTTGTACCTGGTAAAGGCCCACCAGGAAGCTCAGGGAAAGGGCCACGGTGATGGCGTAGCAGCTCCTGTCACAGGGCTCTGTGCCGTTCCTGGGGGAGCTGGAGTTGTCCCCGAGGGCGGCGCCGCTGTCCCCATAGCCTGCCAGCTGCAGGCGGCGCGTCACCGACTGCCCCACCATGAGGCACAGCACCCCGAAGGAGCCCACGCTGGCGTGGCGCGACGTGGCCGTGGCCGCGTAGATGATGTTGCAGAAGAAGTTGGTGTAGATGCCGTAGACGGGGTCCTGGTTGGCCAGCAGGGAGTAGGAGATGGACTGAGGGATGGCCACCACGCCCACCAGGAGCCCCGAGACCACGTCCCCGAGCAGCTGGGAGCGGGGCTCGTAGCGGGGCAGCCACTCCAGCACGGGCAGCAGCCGGCGCAGGGAGCGGCCCAGCGCCCCGGGGCTGCACCTGCAGGCGGCCCTGGCCTTCTCCAGGATCAGCTCCCGGCGGCTGCAGCCCGGGGGCTCCTGCTCCTCCAGGATGATGAAGGTGGCAGGAGCCTCGCGTGGCCCGAGGGAGCCCAGGGGGGCTTTGCTGGGCGCTGGCTCCTGGCTGGACGTGTCCTCCATGGGCACAGGGGAGCTAAGGAGGGAGAGCAGGCAGGAGTGAGTGTGACCATGGTCAAAGGGGTTTCAGGATGAAGAGGAGACGAGAATGTTGACTCTATGATCAGAAGGCTTGAGTTATTATTTTATGATATATGTTACATTAAGACTATACTAAAAAGAAATAGAAAGGAAAAGGTTTCTTCAGAAGCTAGCTAAGATAAGGATAGACAAGAATGAATAACAAAGATCTGGGTCTCAGACAGAGAGCAAGAGCCAGCTCTGCCATGAGTGGTCAAGTAAATCCAAACATCCACAGGAGACCAATCACAGGTCTACCTGTTGCATTCCACAGCAGCTGATAACCATTGTCTACTTTTGCTTGCTGAAACTGCAGCTTCTCACAAGGAAAAATCCTAAGGAAGGATTTTCCATGAAAGATGTCTGTGACAGGTGAGGGGCTGCAGGCACGAGCACGGGGGCTTTGCTTAGCTCCAGGGCTCGTGGCATGGGCAGATAGACAAATAAATAAATAAATAAATAAATAAATAAATAAATAAATAAATAAATAAATAGAAATAAAATAGAAATAAATAAACTAATTACTAATATATAAATAAACGACCAATAAAATATAAATAAACTAATTACTGAAATACAAAGAAACGAACACGCGAACTAACAATGAAATATAAACTAATCGCTAAAATAGAAATAAAGAACTAAATAACTTTGAATTATAAATATATATAAACTAATTATTGATATATAAAGAAATGAAAAAGAAAATGTAAAGAAATAGATAAATAAATAAATAAAGGGAAATTATCTCAGACAAATCCAACAAAAGTGTTTTTCCAAGGCTGATTCATTCATTGTCACTTCTGGAGCTGATTAACCACAACCCCCAAACCAGGGGCACAGCTACAGAGCCCCCCATGCTCCTTCCCCATCCCTCTTGTTTAGAACTGGGAACTTCCTCAATTTCAGTGAAATTTCACTGAATTTCACTCAAACTAAAACTCCTTCTGCTGTCAAGACACTGCTACTTAGGCAAACCCTTCTTTTGGAAATGTTAAGATATTCCAAGGGATACTTTAGGAATCAAGATGTGGGTCAGGGAGATAATTTGCCAATTACTTTTTCCTTCAACATTACATAGTTTTAAATTGCATTAGTGGCTTGCATCAATCAGGGGCTCCCATCTGCACAATGAAACCACTCTGCTTTTTCAGGCTGCTTATTTACAGAAACACCTTCCAGAGCCACTCCAGGTTTTTTCAGTCAAAATGCAGCTGCACCAAAACAGCTTTTTTGTGACAACTGAACCACAGACAGAGAGAAGAACACTCCAGAGGGGAGACCCAGAGTGGCTGTGGTTTGGAACCGAACTGGGATGAGGAGAAATCCCATTCCCTGCCCTGCACACATCACCAAATCTTACCTCTGGCTGCAAACTGGGTGTTTCCTCAGCACCTGGAGCTTCTCCCCTGGGCACAGAGCTGTCTCCACCTGGCAGCACCTCTGGGCAGAGGAAAGGTGGCCCAGGTGCCACCTCCCTTGGGGTCTGAGCTCCTGAGCCAAGCCATGTCTCTTTTATCTCTGTGCAGGCGCTGCAGCCGCCGAGCAGAGCTGTGTTTGGAAAACAAACACCATTCTCAGAGGGTATTTTGGCTGACAACTTGTTCTGGACACCAAGAATGATTGAGGGGGCTTAGAGAAGTGCTCCTGCCAGATAAGAGGATTGCTTGGATCTGGGGAAGTGTTTGCTAAACAAGGGCAGCGAAGGAAAGAAACCTCCCTGCTCTGCCCCTCTCTGAACCCAGCGAGCTCAGGTCCCACTGGGCTCCTCTGCTCGGGTTCTCAGCTATTCTGGACAAGCTTTTGTGCCAAAAATCAAGAGGCAAAGCTCGTTCCAGAATGACTTTCCTTTCCTGGTAGTTTTTCCTCCACAGAGGCTCTGCAAGGCAGAGAGCAAAGCTGTGGTGACACAGGTTATTTCAGGGAGACAGCAGAACTGTGGATGTGTCCAATCTGCACAATTCACATTTTGGCACACGTAACAAGGGGCTTTGCTGTGCAGAAACACAACTGGGAAAGGAGCAGGGTTGTATTATTTGGTAGGTAAAGGTGAGCAGTTGCAGCAGCCAGGAAAAAAGGATTGTTCATCACCCTGAAAGGAAAGAGCAGCTCATAAATACCAGCTGGAACTGCTCTGCCCTTGTCAGCTGTGCCAACAACCTCCACCAGCCCTCTGAGCACACACTCCCCCTGTTCTGCCCCCTTCTTTTCCATCCCTTTCCCACTGACCCAGTCCAGATTTTGCTGGATGTGCCATGCCCTGTGCAGCCGGACCGATTGCAGCCAGACAGGCACCTTGGAGAGGGGGCTGGGGATGGAAAGGTGGAGTTCCCCAGGGTTTGGATGCAGATGCTGGGGAGACACCCTGAGGGAAGAGAAGGGGGAAACCAGCATCCTGAGCTGCATTTATCTCATCAGGGGAAGTCTGGATCTCAGTAATTAGGAGTAAATAAATAAGGAACAAATCCGTGTTCTCTGGCAGCAGGAGAAAATGAGAGCACATGGTAGGGAGGCAGCTGCTCAATCTTTTTATCTATTTATATCAATTCTTTTTTTTTCACTGCCATTCCTCCACAACTCATGCATTTTCAGGTGCAACACTGAGAGTTCCCCCTTCCCTTCCCCTTCTCTCAGTAACAGACTCTATCTTTCAGGCACTGTGTAATTGTTCCTACTTACAGCTCATTTTGTGCCTTGGCCTGGATGATGTGGTCTCTACTCACTCATTTTCTTTTTCCATCTTCTTCCCCAGCAAATGACCCAAATTTCTATTTTCTCCACGAATCCTTCATCTTGAAATTCACTGAAGAAGTGATGAGTCACCCATTGAAGAGCTGGCCAGGCTGGACTTTTAAGTCTGATTGTTCCCTGGGATGAAACACAGCTGAGCACAATCCATCTTGGGTTTGATCTTATTTAGGAAGGTCCAGCTCTGGATCTCTGCCCTGAGCACCACAAAAATGGGGTGAAGCCCTTTTTCAATGTGTGGCAGGATTTAGGTTACCTTCAGCTTCCAGCCTGCTGCTGCTGCTGCTTTTCCTCCCCAATCCCATCTTCATTTCCATATTCTGGAGCTCATTTATCTGTTGAGATTTCCTTTATGCCCTGATAAATCTTGGGAGGCCCTGACAGAGCCCTGCTCTTCCCCCTCTCCAAGATTTCTGCCTCCAAGCTTTCCCTGCCATCCTCCCCTAGAACTTTTTTCTCCACTTTCTTGTGTTCAAATTCCCAGCTGCTTTAGCCTATCCCAATAATAAATATCTATTTCAGTACATTCCATACTTTAAGTTATTCCACACTTTCTGCAGTTCTCAAGCTCCTTGTCCCTGCTGGTTCTCTGTGCTGGAAATTCCAGCTGTGGGCACTGAGGAGAGGCCACTCCATGCCCTCCATCCCAGCAGAGGGGCTGTGAGAACACCCCTGGTGGCACTGTGCACATCTCTGGGATTCCTTTTCCTGCATGAGGTGAGAAAGGGGGCAGAAAATACAAAAAGTTTCACGTTTGCTATGGGAAAAGCATCACAAAAAAAGAAAACCAAAAAGAAACCCACCAGGGAACTGCAGGTGACCTTGAGGCACTCAAGGCTGTGCTGCCCTCCCCATGCAAGGTCAGCACAGCTGAAACAGTTTTGTTTCCAAAAGCATCTTCAGGGCTTGTTCTTTATTGCCACTATAAACTGAGCCCATGCTCAGCTCCATCCTGGGCTGCACAGATGGTTTTGGACAATGCAGGTGGGGACAGGAGCCTGCCTGCACTGGCACAGCCCCCTCTGCTTCCCAGAGCATGAAATCCAAAGTTTTTATTCCTGGCATGGTGTGTGAGCAATTAAACATCCATCAATGCCAGGCTGCAGCCAGGTGAGAAACAGAGCAGAGCCAACAAGCTCCAGGCACAGGAAAGGCAGGAGGGGCATTTGCTGTTTTCTAGCCTAAAGTGAGCAAAAACCACAGAATTTCCTGTGTCTGGGATTGTTATCCAGGCATTTGCAACAGGCAAATGCAGCAAAATGAAGTTTGTGCTGCTGTGTCAATCCCTTTTGCTTTACAGGACAGGTTGGCACCTCCACTTTTCCTGGGAACAGATTTAACTGCTCTGCACAAAGGGGCCTGATCTGCTTCAAGGTTTGTAAATATATTTGTGATTATTTGGCTTCTGGGAGCCCCTCAGGTCATGGGCCAGCCTGGCTTAGGACATGGCTGCACCCACTGCTCCCCATGACTTAGATCACAATTTTTATTTAAAAAAAAACCCAAAAGGAAGCGAGCCAGGTAAAAGTGCCAGGTTAAGAGAGATGCTTTTCCTTACCTTCACATGGGGGGTCTGACAGCATTTTTGGATGGCTGCTGGTTCAGCTTCACTTGAAATGTATTTACTGCAAAATATCATCGTTTTTAAGGGGAAAGCAAGGAAAAGGAGACAAGCCCAGAAGTGGTGGTGCCACTGCTGAGATGGCAACACACAACAGAAGCACCCCAGGACAAAAAAGCTGAACAGAACCTCTGCAGTTGGGTATTATTTACATTTCTGCAGGAGATAACACATCCCAGGAAACATCCCCTGTTCCCTGGCAGGGCAGTTTAATGTTCAGGAGCCCCAGCAGGGCAAAGATAACACAAATACTGAGAGGCCAAAAGTGTCCCTGCCCCTTGGGGGCTGAGGGACCAGGAGAACTACAAAATAAATAATAAAGAGCATTTTCACTCCTGGAAGATGGAAAAAAAGTACCAAGCACATCAGCTCTAGAGGTTTTGGGGAGCACTCTATCTTAATACAACAAGGAGGAAAGAAATTCCTTTTGCTGCCCCTTGCTGCTGTCCCTGTGTTTCTCCGTGCATGGCACATTCCCAGTGCTTAGGGCCCTTTTCCAGATTATCCAGATTATCCCTGCAGAGGCTGCAGTGGCTCTGCAAACAGATTGAGCTGATTCCAGATGAATGCAGTGCAGTAAAACATGGGGACACGTTTCTGTTTGCCACTGGCCCCAGGCTGCTGGGCAGCCTCAGGGGTGAGGGTCTGGCTCAGGGTGCCCAGAGAAGCTGCCCCATCCCTGGAGGTGCCCAAGGCCAGGTTGGGCAGGGCTTGGAGCACCTGGGAAGGTGTTTGGAATGAGATCATCTTCCAAGCCATGAAGAGTTTTCTCCCAATGCTGTTGCCTTGTTCTTCTAAGCCCTCTGACGATTACATTTTTATAATGGAGTTTCTCACACACTTTTATGTAAATAATGATTGGTTTTGCATTCCTTTCTGGAGGAGGAAAAATCTGATGGACTGTTGGTTTGACCAGTGTCGTTGGAGAAGTGGCAATTCCATCCTCCAATCCAGGATCACTTTTAGAATTATATATATATATTGAGATGGAGAAATAAACTTTCTTCTTTTTACCTTGGAAGTTCCAGTGTGCCTGTCATTCATTTCGTGTCCTATTGCCACACAACACCTCATCTCATCTCCTGCCATGTGACAGGATTGGATCTTCCACCAGATTTCAAACAGGAGAAGGTTTTTCCCACCACTCAAGCACTGGGATGCTGCCACAGGGCGTGGTGGCAGCTTTGGCACAAGGGCTGATGGAGCCTCTCCATGAGGAGGTGCTGCAGAAGCTGCACCTGAGGTCTCAGAGGTTTGTGAGGGAGGTTCTGAAGGGGCTGGAGCCCTGGGACACCTTTCCCAAGCAGCCCCCAGAGGTGGGAGATGGGGCTGGGGGGGGTCCCACAGGAGCGTGGATGGCAAGGATGAGTTAATCCCAGGTAAGGCAGAGCCTAAAGCTGCCTAGGTAAATAAATAAATAAATATATAAATAAATAAATAAATAACGTGCTGCTGGCTGAGCCTGGCTCCCTCAGCTGGGAACCAGACTGGTTTGGCTGGAGGCAAGGGTTGTTCTCTGCTTTTCAGGAGCAGCCCCTGCAGGCACTGCCATGCCCCAGTGCTCCTTCTCCTCTGCTGGCACCAGCACGGGAGCTGCAGCCTGTGCACAGAGGTCCCCTGAGGTAAAAGGCATCCTCAGGTAAAAGCTGAGCCATGCTGGGCCAGGAAAGCCTTTTCCATAACTCAAGGACACCTCTGCAGACACAATGTCACAGGAACTGCCCAGAACTGCCCTCACAGCTGCTCACGGGTTTTTCTGGCTCCTCCTGGCCATGACCTGAGGAAGCCACAGAACCTGGGAGAGAATCACAGAATCAAAGGGAAGGGACCCACAAGGACCATCAAATCCAGCCCCAAAATCCCACCCTGGGCATCCCTGGGAGGGTTTTCCAAACCCTCCTGCAGCTCTGGCAGCCTCAGGCTGTGCCCATCCCTGGGGAGCCTGGGCAGTGCCAGCACCCTCTGGGGGAAGAACCTTTCCCAAAATCCAACCTAAACCTCCCTGGCACAGCTTGATTGATCCCAAGGAACACTGAAATTTATCTCAAGGAACACTGAAATCCAGCAGCAGCAGTTTTGCAAGGCTGAGTGTGCAGTAGCAGGTGCTGTAACTGCACCTGTGGTAAAGTACAAGCAGCACCAAAGGTGGCGATTTCCACACCTCAGGAACTCAGCCCTGGCACAGGAGGAGGGAGCTGCTCCCTGGCACAGGGCACAGGAGGGAGCTGCTCCCTGGCACAGGGCACATCACTGTCCCGACAGGCTGATTTTGGTTATTAATGCCACCACAAACCCTGTCCTAGCAGCACAGAGCAGCTGGGGCAGAGCGAGGTGAAGATGCCATCAGTCAGTGACAACAAAAAAAAACCCCATAAATGTCATCTTTTAATTGTGCTGAAGAAATCCCAGTGATTTTACCAGATTTGACAGAAAATTCTCATGTTAACAAATTAACAATTAAGAATAACAACGGGTACAGCTCAGGCAGGACAGGGCAAGGAGAGAGAGCCCCCAGCAGGCAGGGGGTGGGCACAGAACTGATGGCACAAAATCCAATTTTCCCCACAAAGCCCAGCTCTGAGGCAGGGGCTGGTGGCAGCAGCTCTGTCCCCAGCCTGGGCACAGGGTGACACAGCTCCCCCAGCACCCTGTGCTCCACCACCCACCTGGGGGCTTTTACACCTGATTTTCACTGCACAGACAAATCACAGCAAAAACAACAAAGTGATCTTTTCCACACACACCATCATTTCCCCACATCTTGCTCCAGTAACACACAAATTATTTTGTAAACAGGTCAGATCTGCTGACCAATGGGATCTAGGCCAGGCCTGAGGTCCTGGTTGGTTAAACTGGTTCTCCAACCAGCTCCAGGCACAGTTTGCCACTGCGTGTGTTCTGCAGAAGATTATTTACATCTGAAATTATACTGAATTTTCAATTATTAAAAAAATCACCAGAATTTCAATTATTAAATCACCAAATTTCAATTTTTTTTTCAAATTTCAAGTATTTATCACCAAATTTCAATTATTAAAAACCCCCAGAACATACCAAGAACATATTAGAGATATTCAGGAACCCAAAACTAAAGACTCAAAGATTCATGTGCTTGTCATAAAAAATGAGATTTTACCTCTCCTTAACCATGTTCCAATTGCATTTCAAATAAACCTAAAATTCACTTCTTTAAGTAAAAAAAATCAGACATAAAAATTGGACCCAAGTTCAACAAAATGTTTCCCACCCACATGTGGAGTCTTTAGATCATTTGGGAGATGGACTAAGTGCTGTCAGAGCTGGGATTCAAATATTGAAGCAGTAATTTTACCTCAATGGAAATTTGGTTCTCCATCCAATGCTGAAATATTTGGTGAATTTGCACATCAAATACCATTATGCCTTAGCTTATAGAATCTCTAGGAAATAAAATAGACAGGTACTAATTATGCTATGAACTAAATCTAAATATTAAATATTTGCTATTCTACCCAACCAGAGGCCTTGCTTTCAGCACTGCAATGATCTCCAAGGAAAAAGCAAGGCTCAGGATGATTTCCACTTCAGAGAGAATCTGACTGAAATTATAAAAATCAGGTTGATTTTTCACACAAGCAGCTGACCCTCCAAAGGCTCATTAGGATGATGACCCAGTGTAATTAATTCTTGGGATTTAACGAGGTCATTCTTGGTGCCAAACCCGCACTAAAGCCAGGATTGCTCTTGTCTGTGCCAGGGGAAAGGGCAAACCCTTCTGGTGTGGAGAAATCCACCAAGGCAGTGGCACCAACACAGAGCCCAGCGTGGCAAGAGCAGCACAGGAATGTTTGCATCTCAGCTTCACCACCGTAGCCATGTCCATTAAAAACAAAAATTAAACATGTCAAATACCTGAGGTGCTTAATCACTTTTCCAAAGCAGGTGGAAGAAACCCAAGCCACCAGAGAAGATAATGCCCTGAAGCAGGTTTTGGCCTGAAGAGTTTCACCCTCAGCTGGAGCTGGGACAGAGCCCAGGCAGAGCTCACAACCTCAGCCCAAGGCTCTGGGCAT